TAGAACAAGGTTAGGCTAGAGAAAGAACAATATATTTAATATGAATAGAAGATATAAGGTAACATTCAGCAGAGACCACGCCTGCATGGCCGAGCCATGCCATCGATCAACTCCAGTCCATTCAATTCATTGTTCGCGCCTTCTTTATTGTTAGGTATTTCTCCGCGTTAAATATTGAATATCTATTTTCTGAGTAGTCTCGTGTTCACAGCTTTGTGGATTGTGTGGCTATTGTCCAATGCCACTACACTACTCTCCCACCAGAATCAACGTGATGTTGGTTCGATACCAAATTGGATGGGATCGTCGCGCGCCGGAGGTTACCAAGAATAGTAAGAATCCCCCGGGTAATGATAAGCTGAAAGATAAATCAAAAAGAAGGCGGCAGCATCTGGTCGGGAAATACATGTAATAATTTTAAAATATCTGCCTTCATGCTTAACACGCTTGAAATGAAAATTTGGGTGAAGATTATTTGAGCTATAAAAAATGGGATTATAATAATAATAATAATAAAACGATGCGTGTTAATAGCCGTTGGTTAATAACTTAACGTATAGGTAGTAAGTATTTTGTGTTTAGAAATATTAAAGTAATGAATATTGTAGAAATGTTAATATTGGTATTAGTTTTGGTTTAAATTATGAAATCAAATAACGATTATGCCGGTAAGTTGTCCATATGAGTTGAATTCCAATTGCATCTGTATTAGTAGGCTAACTGAAGGAACAAAAGTATACCGTGGAGAAGAATTCCAACTAGTGTTCCAGTTAGTTTGATACGGTTTATTTAGTTACGGGGAGATTTTCTCAACCTCATTTTTACTTGACCGTGATAGAATTTAGTAATACTACTAATACACATGAATGGTTATCAAAACAAAATTTAAATACGTAAGTGATAATTATAAGTTTTGGACAGATAGCTAAGAACAAATCGTTAAACATGAGTGTATTCGTAAGAGACATGCTTCAGACTCAATGTTCTGATCTGTGGCAGACTATTTATTTATATTTATACTTGCCGGCTGATTGGGCATACAAGTTAGTTGCAAGTATGCAGTTTATCATAAGGCGGAATACGATTTAATTGAGATATAGTGGTTATAAGTTATTAAAATCAGTTAAGCCTGTAAGATCCAAACTACGTTTGGACTGCTGGACAGCTGTCTGGATGAGTTAGATACGCGCCCTCGCCCGATTGAAACCAAAACAAAGGAATTGGGTAAGATAGCGGTTCTATAATTTATCATAAATTTAAGTGTACATTATTACCTAAACAAATATAACCACTCAGCTATCCAACCAATAATTGTTCAATTGATCAAATCTAATTACAATAAATAGGAAAGTTGATAAAGGATGCAAGAAATTTACCAATCACAACAAATCAACGTTATTCTATCCTGGCTGGATAGATCACACACAACAGGAGGAACAAATCAATATGGCTACCGCCAAGAACAAGTGTCAAGTAAAACAACACAGATGCAGTTCAGGAAGAAACACAGACTTAGTGAATGCGTAAGAAAACAAAAACTATAATAAAAAATACAAGTATTAACAACTCAAATGTAATCAAAATACAACAATGTACAATTAAGGGAGTCAATAGGAACAAAGTACAAGTATATACATGGAGGGATTTTCACAAACACACAAAACATTCAAAATGGATCTTACACCGGCCCCCAAAATCCCTCCATACCACACAAGCTACCTTGATGCCTATGGTCATGGTTCATTATGTAGCATATTACACTATAGGAACGAGTAGGACTTACAGCAGTACGCCTACTCGACCTAACTACATTAATAACAAAAAAGACTAACCCGAAGCTTCAGGGAGACCTGCTTCATCTGTTCTCTGGTGGTGGTGGTGGTCGGTTCTGGTTAATCCAGTATGACCGCCACTTTGATTCTTAGTTGTCGAATGCCCTGAGAATGTATAGTGTGTCCTAGGAAGTTTAATGAGTCGGCTCCGATTTGTCATTTCTCAACGTTTACAGTAGTGCCATGTTTTTGTAGTCGGTCGAAAACAAGATCCAGATGCTTGAGATGCAATTCTCCGTCTGGTCTTGCTATTAGACAGTCGTCAACATAAGCATGTACGAAGTTGAGACCTCGAAAACGTCGTCTATGAACTTTCGGAAGGTTTGTGCAACTTTTTCCAGACCGAAAGGCATTTGCGAAAATTTCGTACAGTCCGAAGGGAGTTATGATAGCAGTTTTCGATATGTAGTCAGTAGCCATAGGGATTTGGTTATACGCTTTAACCAAATCGATTTTCGAAAAGACAGTTGTACCTTTCAAGGTAGCTGTCAAATCGTGAATGTGAGGCAACGGGTAACGATCGTGAATGGTTTTCGCGTCCAATCGCCGATAGTCATCAGTTGGACGCCAATCGTTGCTGTCCTTTTAAGGGACCATGTACAACGGAGATGCCCATGGGCTGTTTAACGGTCGCATGTTACCTAAGTCTATCATGTGGTCGAACTCGTTTTTCGCCAACCTTAGCATTTCGGAGGCTAGTCGTCGTGCTTTAGAGAATGGAGGTGGTCCTGTAGTCGTGATGTGATGTGTAACGTTCCTGGTTACACACGGTAGTTTCGGTTGCGTTTGATGAATCCCAGTATACTTATCGAGAAGTGGTTGACAAAGTGGGTCTATCGTATGTTTAATTGTGACTGGGATAATCTGCAACCAGAAAAAGCAGTTACACAACAGATATATTAGTGCCTCCGTCTACTAGCCTCGTTTGTGCGTATCGATGATTAGATTATGGTGTTGTAGAGATCCATACAATGATTGGCATAGAAACATCTGCAACAACGAAGATCCATTGAATGGGTTTGGGTAAACCCACGTTAATGTAAATGTACCTTTTGTCATACATAGGTTTTCCGTTTGCCACCTGTAAGTTTATAGCCGATTAGTGAAGCCGCGCGTTAGATTTCGTCGGGAAAACGCTAACGTCTGCGCCAGTATCGACGAGGTAGGGAACCCTCGTTGTCACATCTGTGACGTACAACAGACTGCTATATTCGCCGGCTACGGTTGCCGTTAACGCGTGCCGGCTTGGAAGTTTCCCGAGTTGTTTTTCGTGTCGGCCGGTTTTGAGTTGGGAAAATTGCAGGGTTTTCTGCAATTTCTGGAAGACTTCCCATGCTGGTTATGATACCAGCACCAATCGGGGTTATCAGTCTCTCGTGGTCTAGAGACAGATCGCTTAAGTGAAGTGCTTCTTCGAGAGGCGTGTGACCGTTTACGGTCGTTATGAAACTTAAGATAACGTGTAAGTGTATGACATGACTCTGTGATGTAATGGTGGGTCGTTTGAGGCTTTTCTCTGACTGAAAAAACCTCGGTATTAGAAGATTTCGTGATTTCCAGAGTGCGGTCTGCAGATGCAGCTAGCTTATCTAAGGCGTTGTTGTGAAACGAGACCAGCACAGCTTGCACCTGTTGAGGATAAGGAAATTTGTTTGAATAAGCCATCATCGAAAGTTCATTGGCCCATAACCTCTCTCATTCTTTGTAACATGTCCGTCGCAGAACCGTGTTGCAGGCCGATGTTCTTAAGGAGTTGGTCTAACCTTTGTCTATCGGTTAGGTTCCCTCGTTTAAGAATAGAACGTTTCAGCGTTTCGTAAGGTTCAGAAACATCACTAGTAAACATACTAGGTGTTACGTACCTGTTGAATTCTTGCGGTAGTGCCTTGACTACTACGAGGAATTGTGCACGTGTGTCGATCACGCCGTGCTTGGAGAAGTCGGCTTCTGCCACAGGTATTCGGAGTTTGAAAACGCTTTAGCCAGTAACACCTAACACGAATCGTACTCAACAAATGAAATCAAAAGACAGAATGGAGGAGGTTCGAAGATATATTTGATAGGCTATCAATATATCGAGAATCGTCTGATCTAATCTGGCTAGTGATTCTAGGGGTTGTTGAGCACGGCGTTCCCACTCGTGATCTGGTGCGGATGCACGACCGAGCGCCTTCTGCTAGGTGAGTCCATTAAAACTAATATGACCAGATCTAATTTCGAAAACTTACAGAGCTATTTATTTTGGTGATTTATTTACCACTACAGGGCAATCCGTGCTATGCACCCCTCTCAACAACTAGCAAGCTTCGGCCACACGCTTCCCGAAATATTGAAGCTGTTCATTCCCGAAATCTGTATTGACTGGGTTTGAAATATTTGGATCATAATGCTGGAACGAACAAATGTGTTTGTCGATTCCTGAATTTTCGTGACACGAATTAAAATAACACGTCTTGTTATTTACATTTTACTAACTAAATCTCTAATAAATACACAAAAACAGCATATGTACACAGAAATCATGCCTTCATTGCAAAGCTAAAAATAGAGAAAACCATTCTATTAACACATAGAATACGGGATTCAAGCAGCGAGTCCTTGTTTCAAATATGAAGCAGATATGCTAGAAAGAGTCCAACGACGAGCTACTAAGATGTTACAAGGTCTAGCTGGCCTATCTTATGAAGACAGACCGAGACACCTTAACTTATTTCCGTTATCTTACCGTAGAGTACGGGGTGATCTAATATTGGCTTATCGTATACTGAACGATGACCTTGGTATTAATATGTCTTATCTTTTGCTTCCGTCTAGAACCGATCATTTGAGAGGACATTCGAAGAAAGTTCAAAAACCGAGATCAAACCGTTTACGTCTGGAGTTCCGTTTCTCGCACCGAGTAGTGAATTACTGGAATTCTCTACCGGAACACGTAAGATCAGCACCTTCTGTTAATATATTCAAAACGATATTGGACCTCCACAGTATTAAAAACTGCAAGGATTAATATAGGTCGACAGACCTCCTATCCTTATTACTGAAGACTGAAGACATAAGAGCTAAATTAACAGCGGGCGCATTCAAAAAATGGCGCTGCATTGTTCGATGGCACTACCCAGAAGTTTGTACAGTTTAACGCGTCCTACTTGTCATTGATTGTTAATTTTCATGGCTGGAAAGGGATCAAAAGGGTTCGCTTTGTTTCAAATCAATAGTCAAGATGTATGGGATGCGGACGATCGGGAATATCTCAACATAATATCACCCAAAGGTTGTTTGTCAATTTATTTGTTATTTTGTGTTAGTTGTGCAAAAAACAGCACAAAAAGTTCTAGACATGCACAGACAAGAGTCGGCTATCGCTGAAAATCAGGATGACAGACAAAGAAATGTAAGGCTGAGATGCTATTTTCTATGACTTTTGCCTTATACTTTGAGAGATTCCGGTGATGTCAAATAAGAAATATATATTTATACATATACTAGAGTGACGTGTTTGTCTCCGTTTTTAGGCACTTTTATTTTTAATGTTTTTAGGGACTTTTATATGTAGATTGCAGTTGTAGTTGCTATTTGTCTTCCTATATAATTGCTCTCTTAGCATAATGTATAACGTTATCCCAGAATCTCTACATAAGGACATCCTTCCAATCTATAGCTCCGAGCCACTCTATGAATTGTACCTAGGGAAGGGGGAACCAAGTTGGTGCTATTTATTCATGATATTCTTGGCTCAATTTAAACTACTAACTCGAATTCAGATTTGTATAGTGAGGACAGAACTCCTACGACCTGTGTTATTTCTTTCCTAGTAGGCTTCTGTGAGTGTCTTTTCTTGAGTGAGTCGGTTGAAGGTGCAGACACCTCTACTTCGTGTAACAGGTTCCAAGAATTGATGACTGTGAAAACCTGTATGCCACAAGTATTCACCTGCTATATCCTCTGAAATTGCACGGGTAGCTGTCCTTTGTGCTTTTTCTAGGATGTTCGAGTCACCTTTTAAACAGAGGCTTGCAGTCTAAACTCAAGTTTCGTTCTCACTAAGGCTGTGTATACTGTAGTGAACATAGTAGTATCTAACTTAGTGGATGTCCGTCTTAAAGCCCATAGAGTTCTAAACCCCTTAGCTGCAACCTCAGGGCAATGAGACGTGGTCTTAATATCATGACTCTGTCACTCCAAGATCCTTGTGAGACCGCACGACGGGTACAGGCACCTCCCCTATGCTGTACCTATTTACCTTTGTATCCCCAATATGCTTGCAGACACACTTGCAGATCCACTTTTTAGACTAGCTGATCAGAAAATCTAAGTCCGCCTGAAGATCATATGCACCTGCGTCTCCTGCTACTTCTCGTTAGATTTCTACATCATCAGCGTATAGTAACACGGGACTCAACCATACTTGGGAGTTCATTTACATACAGTATGAAAAGTAAAGGACCTAGGACAGAGTCTTATGGTGCTTCGCTAAGCACTGATTTCCAGAAGGAGCACTTGGAATTTATTCCAGGAAATTTTTAAGCCGTTTTAAGAGAGGTCCGACGGTACCTAGATTCTCCAGCTTCAAGAAGTCATGTTCTATGTTCAACAAGTTGTTGGTTTCCACGAATGTCATTATGGTCTTTTTGACTATTCTTCTAGTATTTTAACCACGACATTGGTGAGACTGGTAAGTCTTTGGTTTGATGGAAGTTGTCTTGACCCTGTTTTGTATTTTGGAGTGACGATCGCATCCTTCCAGTCCTCAGGTAACTCACCTTGGCCAATTGACGTTCAACATCATAGTCAATAGGGCAGCAATATATTGTGCAATTAGTCTCAAGGTTTTGGGGTGTAGTTCACCCAGGTCTGTTGACTTTTCTGTGTCTAAAGCGCTAGGGACCTTAAGTATATGGTCTCGATCGAAGTCCACAGTAAGCTGATGACTTTGTATTTGGCTCTAGTTTTTCGTTTAGAAGATGCTCGTGACTGAAAACTGTCTCGAAATTGTTTGCCATAGCCTCTGCTCTTTTCTGATCATCCTCTATCATTCAAGATCCACTTCCTTCCGTAGCTAGGTTGGGAATCTAATGCTGCGTCCTTGTTCTGTGATTTATGTACGAGGATAGTCTCTTAGGTTTCTTGATTACAGATTATGCCAACTACATCCCGGATTTTTGCTGAGCTTCCCAGATTGTAATTATACACTTATTTCTTACCGATCTGTAACGTTCCATCGTACTTGCTGTGCCAAGGCTGATGGTGACGTCTCAACATTTCTTTTGTCATAGTAAACGTCGAATATCCTGGTCTATCTGGGGATGGCTGTGCTTCTTTTTTGGGACTGTCTAGGGTATTAAAGGTTGAAATACTTGATTGTAGAACTGCTGGAAATGACTTCATACCTCTTCTGTTGATGCCCCTGAGTCAATTATTCAGTTTTCAGCCGAGGCTAAAGAGTTGGTCGCCTTCATGTCTGCCTTCCGTACGTTAGGACGGGCCGGCGCAACTGTCTGATGGGCCATCTCAGCCATGAACTTGAATAATATGACTGCATGATCACTTCTTAAATGTGGGAGGAAAGTCATTTGACCGACATCATAACCGTGTGTGTATAAAGAATAAGTCCAAGAGAAACGAAAAGATTCTCTTTACTTATGAAAAATGACTGACCTTCCAATGAGGTCCGTCTTAACAAGCTGTTTCCTAAAATCTTATCATCTCTGCAGTCCGGTTTGGCGTCAGACGCGAAGGTCTCACTCTATTTCCTTACTTTTCTTTTTCTGGGTGTAACTGTAGGGCCAATCATTGACCTTATGTCTCTTGACCACACGCTCAGGCTTTGCTCCTCCCTGAGCCTGTTTTGCGTCGATATGTTAATCCGGAACTGAAACCGTAAATTCACATACCTTAGTGCTACCCATAAAATGTTTCTTCTCAGCGTGCTTTTTCCTTTTTCTTGTAACCATGCCTACATCTGTCTGTTTGTTATGCGCTACGCTATTGGGGTCCACTTTGGCAGTCTCATCCAAAGCTGGACTCATGATAACGCTTTCTACTTTCTCGAAAACTGAAATCTGCTGATGTGCTGCCGGCTGTTTATCTGAGAGTATCTTTCTAATTATATTTGGCAGCTCAATCACTTCAAGAATCAGCATAGACTTTGTAGAGCAGCATGCTTTGCACAGCCAACGTGATAGTGGTTTGTAGCACCTTTTATATGCAGCCGATGTGAGTCCGGCGCACATGTTTTGATAACACTTGCTGCAGTTGTCACATTGCATTCCATCATCGACCGGGAAAAAGCACGCATGTCTACCACAACGATGTTTTACTTGCATCATAAAATTGCTTAGTGATCTCTCAGAGAGAACAACAAAAACGGATCTCTAGGATAAGTGTCTTCAAAGGCTTTAAAGGTGATAGACGATAAACTCAAAAAGCTGAGGTTTATATGTTACTGTAACTAAAAACAAAACTCCGACCTAAATAGATACCAAAAAGGCCTTAACACCTTTGGACACAAATAATACTAAAAGATATACTAAACGAGGAAAAAAATGCCACTGCCGTTTTTGTTTCCGTACTCAAATAGTACAGATGGTAAATTACTTAAGAAAAAATGATGCTCTTGGCGATTACTTTAACTGAAATAAATCCACTTAAAGCGAAAACAGTAATCTTGGTTCTGTTGCATTTAATTGTGTTTAAGATGTAAACCATGAATTTGGTCCTAATTTACCTAGAAACCTCTAAGTACGCCCGATTACACTGAAAACTAAATCGAACCAGTTTATAGATAGGTTTGTAGTGAAACAGTAATTCACTAATTAGGGTTGTTTTGTGGAACGTTGGAATTTTTAAAGCACTATTATGTCACAAATACATAAATGTATTCAGAAAGGGGTTTTATGGATATTATAATAATTTAATAGTTGCATTCATAAGTCGATTAAAGTTAGACCACCATGGAAAACTTGGAAGCACTGGACGACCGTTTCGTCCTAGTATTAAACTCCTCAGCAGCGCGCATCCACGATCCTGCTCGTGGCAACTCGAACTGATGTACGTACGTACGAAGTTCTACGTTGTTACTGACTGACTGACTGACCTGCTCGCGGGATTCTAACCCAAGATCTTTCGGTCTCGTGCTCGAACGCTTAGCCTCCAGACCACTAAGCTGGCATCCAGTGGTGTTAGTGTCTAGTGGGATCGTCCCATGCTAGCACGGAACGACCGTCTAGTGCTTCCGGGTTTTCCATGGTGGTCTATTAAATTGATATAAATATATATTCTTTTGTCCACCAAGCCTGCTACTTTTTGATGTTTTGCCGAGTCGCGAAAGCCACATATTGATGCTTCCTGCGAACACCTCCCGCGTTGTCGCGGAGCTATTGCAGGTGTAAGAAGTCAAGTTCACTATGTACTGGTGCAAATAACTGGTTCTTTGTTGCAAAACCTGATTTTATGAGTTGGGAACATTCAGCGTCTGTGTTCAGTAAAGTTGTGTCCTAAAGATTGTTCATATCCAGTATTTATACATAGTGAATATATAATCTTTGGTGGTTTGATCATGTTTAATACATGTTTCAGTTGATTTTCTGTCGAGTATTGTTCGTCGACTATGGTCCTGGGTAGAAAATTGAGAGGGACTAAATTTGTTATATGACTCTGTGGAATGATGCATAGTTGTATTAAAAACTATCGGTCTATCATCACTCCTTGTTTGGGGTTTAAGATCCAAGAACTCAGGACCCTGTCAGTGTACCAGTTGGTTGATAATAGAAACTGCAGATTGTCTCACCGTATTTTTCTATTGATGCCTCTTTGTACTAATGTTTGTGTTTAAATAAATAAGTCATATTACAGAATTTGACAGTTTTTATTCATTTGGTGAACGTGTGCATTAGATTTGTTCTGCACTGCGTCTAGCCTCAAGGCGAGGTATTTTTCTATTTGGTATGGTATGTTTATGAGGACTATTTTACCCGTACAATAATTTTGCCCAAATATATATGGGTAATATGTAATTGCCAGTGTCTGGCATCCACTTAAAACTGTTACCTTTGTCCGTAATATCTTATATACTTTATCACTTTATTCTTTCCCTTGTTTTCAGATTGAATCTCTTGATATTAAAGATTCACTCGTACTCCCATATGACAAATCCCCGAAACATGCTCCTGGTATGGGTGTGAGATTGAGAGCAAGTCCTGATGATTTTCCTGTTGCTCATCGAAAGCTGTTAGATCAAGGTCGAACCCAACGTTTCAACACGTGTATCAACTCAAGTATAACAGATTTAGGTATGTGACCTTGCTTTAGTTCTTTATAAAGCTTTGTGTTAACTTCGAAGCCTTGTAACAAAGAAAACACTTTTGACCTTTTATAAACATCAAAATAGTTGACACAGACCGCTGAGAATATGGAAATCTCTCACTTTTCACGTTGACGATACATTAGTTACCACGAACATTTGCGTAGAGAAGTTGGGAGATTCGTTTCTTTCTCTCTGAATTGTCCCATAAATTTACTATTTCAGGACATTGGTTTTACTAATTTCTTTGACGGATTGATTATATTCTCACTAAATTAAATGTGTGAAAAAACATCTAACCGTTAAACTGGACTGCTGTATGTGCAAGAGGGTTTGGAAAACATAATTCCTAACCACTTAGATTTAGGCTCCTGAAGAAACAAACGCTACATGAATTTACTATGACCACCACCTGTCCAAGGAACGTGTATCTTTGTTTTGTTCCATAACCTTGTGGTTTGAGCTTTTAGGTTAAAAACCTAGCTAAAAGTTATCTCGTAATAAAAATGAATTTGGGAGACTGGGTAGTTTCACTACCCAAACGGAAAAACGTCCCCTGTAGATGAGAATGTCCGGAGCTTTAAACGGATTCCAAACCAATGGTGCACATGGGCTCCAGTATCCTGAAGGAACAAATGGCGTGTGAACCAATCGTTGGTCACCGACTACCATGGGACTGCATCTCCTTACAATGCTCCACTGCCTTGTGGATCAGACCTTCAGGTCGAAGTCTCCGGGTGTGACCCTTTAAGAAAACCACCTGCTTCGGTTTGGGCACCCGGGCAGTATCACAGCCCTCACACAAATAAAATGAGATTTGTTTGGCGCGTATGTATTTGGTGCCTCCTTGTACCAATATTTATGTGTTTAAATAAATAATAAATAAATAAGATGAGAATTAGGGATAACTTGCTTGTTGCAGCATCTCTAGAACCAAAACCAGGGAGTCGAGGACCAGCAGTAACCAGTCCTGTGCAGCTTTCTTTCATACCACGACACCATGTCATACACTGACCACCTCTCTGCTTTTTCCAACCAGTCCCAGCGTCGGAAAATGACGCACGACGTGGAATTCTCTGGGACCACATTCATAGAAAATGTCCAAGAAACTGAAGTCAATGTTTCAAGATAGTGACACTAATTGAATTGTCGTCTCTGTGTCCGAACACACGATGCTGAACCTCTGCATTACTAACATGGTGTTGTCACTGAATGTCAGCAGTCTTTCGGAGACAACGATGACCAAACATAGAGAGTCGTCTAACATCCTCAACTCGGCGAGGCCAGGTTTCACAAGCATAAAGCAGAACTGCTCCCACCGACGCGTAGATTCATCCTTTTACAGCCAGACTCACGTCACGATGGCGCGAAGAGATTCCACAGATTAGAATAAACCGCTCTGACTTTCATTATACGTGAATTGATCTTATCACTCACGTCACTACCAGCACTATCTTCTCACTACCCAGGGTGAGTGCACGTCCATAATCCTACCAGCCTTGTAAAAGTATTTTACACTTGGAAGGTGCAAAGCATATAACATACACTTTATTTAATATCATCACAGATATGCTGCTAGAATCAATCTTTTCATCGTGTTAACTTTCAAGAGGTTGGTTTCATACCTTCGGATTTATCCAGTTATTCACTTGTGCTGTCATTTATTTATCATTAGTTTTCAGTGATGTAGATTTCGAAAACATCGTTTGAGGAAAATAGTTCAAAATGGTTTTGTTGGTCTTCTACTTTAATATTCTTTCGTTTTTATCCGGTTAGATTTTTAATGAATCAGTCATAAACAGCATAAACAGTATTATATTCCCACAGTTGTTACTTCAGTTGGAGACCCTATAATGTACAGCCTATGGTTTATTAGTAGTATTTCTACTCACCCACAGTCCTTTTGAGTTTTTTTGAGATAATTCAAGAAAAAAGAACCGTATATCAGCTCTAAGGCCATTTGTTCTTTCATTCACCGTGATTAAATCACCTGTCAACTTATATTAGAATAAAGTAAACAGTTGATTTTACAGTAGCTATTCATCTGAGTTATTGTGAATTCAAGTAGCTTTTATAGTCTTTAAAGGTGATCTGCGTTGTACGCACATATTATTGGGATCTCTTTCGTAAACTTGTGAAGGGTGTTAAATATGTTCCTATGTATGTTGGTGAAATTCCTATGTAACACCCATACCGTTACATAACCCCTACCAATGACGCCACAAAATGGTAATTTTAAAGATATCCTCTTCTTTAGTCTAATCAGTTGCTATTTTCGACAGTGTATTGAGAAGACATAGTTAGACTAAGGAAAGCGATATATTTACGTTACATATTTCGAACAATCTAGTCACACATACTCGTCACGGCATTTCAAAAGAAAACCAATAAAAGTCAATTAAATAAAGGTCAATAAATATACAGCGATAATTGGAAATAAAGGAGAGAAAAATCAATATACTGTGGGAAGAATAGGAGATTGCCACATTATCCTAAACCCTACAACGAGTTAACGATTATCAGGACAGATTCAAGGTTAAAACAAACTGCTTCTGGACACATGAAGGAAGTTTGAGTTTCCTAATGACCGAGGCATTCTACAAACTGAAGAATGCGTACTTAACAAATCCTAAACTATTAGTTGGAAGCTGTTTCAAGGCAAATCATATGACCTGTTTTGATTTTGTTATGCAATCGATGGGCATGGTCTTTTACTCCTTGAGTTTTTCGGGGCAGTTAAGACTAAATAATTATTAAGTTTTTGATTGAGATCATTAACCGATTGATGTTAGACCACCACAATTGAAAACCTGGAAGCACTGGACGGCCGTTTCGTCCTATTGTGGGGCTCCTCAGCAGTGCGCGTCCACGATCCCGCTCGCGGGATTCGAACCCAGGGCCTTCGGTCTCGCGCGCGAACGCTTAACCAACTGGACCACTGAGCCGGCATCCAATGGTGATAGTTTCTAACATCAACCAACCCACGAAATTGCGCGACCATGATCTCAATCAAAAACTTAATAATCTCCACAACCCCTATACTAGTAAATAATTATTACTGCATTTTGATGCATGCTTCGTCACCCTCTATTACAATCTTCAATTAATCCCCTTGTGTTTCCACACATGTGAATTGGTAAATACAGTGGGATATTTAAGACTATGTGGAGTCATCGACTCCATCTTCTTGATAACAACTAATTTTCACTACTGTGATTTTTCGATGGATGTCTACTCTCTACTTTACAAAAATGCTATTCGACTCTCCTCCATAAATCAATGTGATGTACAACCTTTTCTTCGTAACATAATCAAGAAAAAGTTCCAGGGTTAACTGGCTTTTACTAAATTTAGAAACTTTAAAGGATATCCGTTTAGTGTTAATGCTTGGGATATTAGTTTTATATCCACTTTAATCGTATATTCGTTGAAGATTCGTTAAACTCTGTCGAAGATCCACCTTACCACGCCTTACTACAGAGAACAGAAACTCTGAAAGTTGCCATAATTCAAATATCACATTTTGCATACCTTCTGACATACATAAATACACGATGTTTTACGTAGACTCACCTTGACCGAAATGACACGAGTGATATGATCAGACGCATTTTGTTTGCGATAAATATTCTGCTTTGTTCCTCTGCACTACATAAACGTAAGTTGATTTCACTTGGTTATTTACGGAAGAAGTGATTTAGACTGAGGAAAGAAACTCAATTTTCTACTCGCTGGGATTTCGCAAATATATTACTTTATTATCATGTGGAAGCCTAATATTTGATCAGTTTACGTGAGTTTTCTATAAACTGGTCGTCTTATGGTTCCGTCATCTCTTTGACTCAAAAGTATGTCTAGAAAAGGAAACTGGTTGTTAATTACCTCACAAGTTAGTACACTATCGTTCTGTATGTTATTAAGTTTATCTAATAACGAAGTTGTTATGATCTTGGTCTACCCGCTGGCCGTGCAGTTGGATGTGCAGGGGAATCTGTCTTTGATTCTTTAGACTACTTAACATAACCTTGAGACCGCGAATGCGTGAATCCGACTTCTGAATGATTGGTCTTGTAGACGGAGAACTATCCCATTCGCTAACTAACGGTGCGCTACGCGGACACCGAATGGTTAAGAAGAAAAAATGACTGTAGTAAAACCTTTTAATCGGAACTTAATTTTAATTTAAAAGAGTACAAGACTAAATATATGAATGATTGGACTAAAATGCACAGTAAATGAGGATATACAATGTAAGTCAAATAAGGCATTTAGGGTACTAAAACATGATACGAAATTCGTGTTCAAATAACGATAAATTTCAAATAGATGATAATAATTTACAGACTAAACGAAAGCTTTTGATTAGGGGAAAAAGGAAGTCACATAAACCAAATGTCAGTAATGACAGATTGAGAATTGAGCGTACTAATGTCCCAAAAATTAGCTTTCTTAGTTTTCCGTTTGTTTTTATCTTCATGACGGAAGTCACATCGAAGTTCCTATCACATACAACCAAGATATTACGCACGTACTACCTACATAGTGACCGCACTGAGTTTACTCGTCATATTTCCAACATGTGACATATAAACATCAATTAAGAAAGTTCCTGCAATGTTAACCATACCTACATCAAACACTTGTCGAAAGCGTTCACCCTCAATTATGAACCGAACTTAGTCAGGACATAATAAAGTGATTCTCTAAATTGTGTTGGCCAAGTAGGAAACATACTACATAAGCAATCAAAAAAGAATATCAACAGTTTTCACCAAAGGCATATTAGTGAATCCCGACCCTGGTACCTTGACCTGGTGGTCGAGCTTGCTGATCGGAATGAATCAATTGAGCTATATTGGCTGGAACAATCGTTCTTCTAGGTTCTACAATAACAGAAAGGTCGGTTGGAGAGCGGTAAGAATAAAACAACAAACTCAAGGTCCGAAGGCGAAGTCTGATTGCTAACTGTACAGAGGTGTGACGGCAGTAAGATTTTTACTTCAGACAACCAGCATGACAGCGATGTTACCTTCCCACAAAAGAAGGGTGGGTTAGAAAAAGTCCATCTTAAGAATGCACACCTCGCCTTAACCCACGGATTTCCGTTTCCGGTGGTAAGGTCTCGACAAGTACGGAGCTGACAGGAAAATTACCCACGAAAAGGTCGTGTGTGACTGGCCTCAAACAGTTGTCTCTTTTTGGGCAATGCGGTCACGCTCCCAGATCACTAAGATCGCCTCTAACCCAATGTCCTTTTTAGGTGCCTCTAGAAGAAACCTTGCATGGTGTGGGCAACCGGGGAGTGATAACCGCCCTCATAGCTCTAACAGCACTCATATTAGTAAATAAAGATCAATAAGTTCAAACGTATCTGTTAACAAAAACTTATATAATTTGTTGTGCAATAGGTTTGGCAGTTTTGTCAACTATTTTACGAGTTTATGTGTAGGTGAACTGCATATAGATAATATTGATTTCAGAAACTACTCGGTTTGTGAACTTTAGGTAATCCGTACAAATTTGAGAGTTTAGATTCCATAAGATTTAGAATATTAAGTTCCTCTTTTTTAATAATATTTATGTTAAGGAGTTTTTCACTAGATTGCAGTTTACTCTAGTTTACAATTTCTTAACATCACGACTGGGGACTACGATAAACTTCCTTTCATTACAATAATGGATAAAATATCTTTCTTATAGTCACATTTGTTCACAACAACACGTAAACCTTTATCGGACTTGCAAACACGATATTTAATCTGCTCTGGAGGTTTTTTTAAGGCATTAAAACATTTAGCCATTAGGACATTTTTATCTTTTTTGACGAGCATGAAATTGAAGAGCAATATCAACCAATTTCACATTCAGATAACTATAAATGGTTGACAGAGTAGCAAAACCATACTCATCGATTGCATAACAAAATCAAAACAGGTCATATGATTTGCCTTGAAACAGCTTCCAACTAATAGTTTAGGATTTGTTAAGTACGCATTCTTCAGTTTGTAGAATGCCTCGGTCATTAGGAAACTCAAACTTCCTTCATGTGTCCAGAAGCAGTTTGTTTTAACCTTGAATCTGTCCTGATAATCGTTAACTCGTTGTAGGGTTTAGGATAATGTGACAATCTCCTATTCTTCCCACAGTATATTGATTTTTCTCTCCTTTATTTCCAATTATCGCTGTATATTTATTGAACCTTTATTTAATTGACTTTTATTGGTTTTCTTTTGAAATGCCGTGACGAGTATGTGTGACTAGATTGTTCGAAATATGTAACGTAAATATATCGCTTTCCTTAGTCTAACTATGTCTTCTCAATACACTGTCGACATTTTCTTGGCAGGGACTTATTGATTGGAAATTCTTTTTATACATTACTCTCTAAGAAAGTTTTTTTTCGGAGTGTGCCTAATGTATTAGTTATGACGAGTGTTGATCTCTGTGTTGTTCTTTTCTTTTAAACATCGTCTCTTTCATTCTAGTCGTATTGCGTCAACTGTCTTGGTCTGGAATTCCAGGAGAACTTCGACCAACAGTATGGAAATTGTTATGTGTAAGCATTTGATTTTTTATCCAGAAATTTTGGTCTATTTGTTTTCATAATGGTATGAGTATTTATTAACGGGTTAACTTTTCACCGATTATCTCAATAAGATTCTGTTTCCTTTTTTATATTTATTCTACATAATGTACGTGTAAGTTTATGCATATTCGTGAGGCATTTTCTAATACACGGAGGTTATTTGTGATATCTTTTTATTTGTAAAGAGTAGTGGGTTTGTGATTCAAGTACTCGATTTTCACTTAATGTGTTGCAAATTTGAATATCACTCCGTCTACTTCGGTTTGAACATCTATGTTGTATCGTAAGCCTTCGCAAATACAAGAGGCACTACTTGGAGCTAAATATGTAAATGCGTTCTTCATACACTCACTCAGTAGTGGATGTGTAAAAAAATTGTGACAATTGTCAGGATGTTTTTCCTCCCTCGTGCTTGTATTTGTCAGTAATTGATATCTTACCACCCTTTAAAGATCCATGTTTCTGTTGGGTTAAAAATCTGAATCACAGCTGTAACATTTGTAAATAGACAACAAAGTAAACACATGTTCTCAAAGTTCGAGTAGTGTGTATTTCTTCATTTTCGGACACAAACTACAGCTGAATAGTCTTTTTTTGGTTTTGAAATCATTTTATCTTAATTGAACACTTTCATTGCTAGTCGTTTACATTATATTACAAATACTTAATAAAATCGTATGAGGAATCATAGTTCTAAACTGTAACGTTAAGCTAAATTAATGAATACATCTGTGTACACTAGAATTCTCAACCAAAACTGTTGTGTTTGAACTGTCAATAATGTATCATTAGTTGACTGGCTAGATCACTGAATGACGGTGTCACGTCTGAGATGTAGTGTTAATCAATATTGGGAAGGAAGTAAATTTGTCATCGTAATTCGTATTTTAACCAAGTATTTCCTACTTTTTTTAAAAATCATTTTTACGTTGCAGGATTATCTTCCAACTAGTCTTGAACGACGTGTCACTGTACTAGCGGATAAACGTAAACAATATACACTTTTGTTAGTCAGTATTTCATTTACGTGAAAATGTTAAACATAAACCAATGTTTCATCAAATTCAGAAAGATTTAAACAGAATGACATTACTTTATCGAAGGCCCGAAATGGTTGCAGTAAGTTATATTGTTGTTGAGCGTTTAAACAAAAAAAATATAGTTTTCTGTATGTTATATGTTGTCAGCAATATGATTAAATTATAACTTGGAAATGGGAAAAAGAGTGGATGGATGCTTTAGATGTTTATAGGGATGATTAAAATGTATTTTACACATCTACTGTCTCCCTGAATTGCTCTGAAAATACTTTTACACGACTGAGACTTTATACTTTCGGGAGAATTCTACTCACTACGTTCGCGCTGAAATAGTACTTTCACAAAGATAAAACAACGAAACTGAACATTTAGTTTTTAAATGGGGTTAATAAATTTGAAGAATTCACCTAGACCAGTTGGAAAAATCTGGTTTTGAACCAACAGCGGTGCTCAGGACAAGGAAATCAAAATAATTAATTTCGTTAGTAGAGAAAACCAAATATGTGAAGTATAATCCGAGAGGAATAAATAACATGGAGGAACGAGGAGTGTGAGATATTTAAACAAAGATAGCAAACAATATATTTTCACATCTACTACCAACCTTGAACCATTCCATTTATTTTCAGTCACATATTACGATTACCTTGTTCACCTTGACCAGAAGGTTTGCAGCGCTTGTCACGACCCAGTTCAATAGATAATTATTTCATAGAATTGTCCTACATTTTTGTCGGCTTATCCCTAGTTGTTTCCGACCTTATAAAGTAATTGAATGTGTATAACATGTATCCTAATTATGTCGTCCAGTGAGTTAACAATGTCATTAACCAAGTTATCACCACCCAGTACCCTACGCTTAACCATCACAAGTCAGTCCCACCATAAACAGGCAATCCTTTAAATGAATTGATAATTGAATAATATCGGCCCATATATTGTTTCGGTTTGCCAATGACCACGTTTTAAGGCTGTAACTGAATATACTGCTAACGGCCGTATTCAGAGCATTATTATTATTATTTTTTATTATTAACTGCATTGCACGGCCATCTTCCATTGTTTTCATTGAGTAACTGCCTCACATCCGACCGGGTTAAAACCCAATGGTCACGGCTTCTCATTACAGTCAGTCAGTCAGTCAGTCAGCTACAACGTAGGACCAGGCACATGTATGCATCGGCCCAGGTTGCCATACCTCATTAGCACAGCAAGATGAACACCGGATTCATAGGAGTGGTTAGGTCAAAGGTGGTAATATATAGGAGAAAGATTGCAATAAGGATATAGTATAGGAAGAAAGAATTAGTTCGTAGAAAGAAAGATGTGAAGTGATCTTAATCTCTTAGTTTAAGAGAAGACAGAGAGTGTATACACCGACGCCATTGTGATCGATTCTGAGCCATGTCACCAAGGGTCTCCAACCATTGGTTACGAAAGTCACGCGGACCCCAACCAAGTAGTCTGCATCTACCAACATGGCTCAGACTAGAAGTTAGTGACTTCAGGCACTGATGCCACGTTTTGGTTTGGCCGCCCCTAACTTTCTTCCAACCATCCCGTACACCGGTTAGCATTGCACGTCGCGGTAATCGGTGTTCAGGCATACGTAATACGTGGCCCAACCATCTCAGTCGATGAAGATTCATAACCTCATCAACTGATTTACCATCATTCCCTAATACCCTGCGTCTAACCTCACTATTACTTACCCGGTGATCCCAGCAGACGCCAGCAATATTTCTAAGGCATCTGTGGTCAAATACTAGTAGCTTACGAGTGTCTTCTACTCTTAAGGGCCATGTTTCGCTGCCGTAAATTAAAACAGAACGAACAGCCGCGCAGTATACTCGTCCTTTTATTGATAGACGGATATCTCGCCTCCGCCAAAGGTGACGTAAGTTGGCAAAAGCCAAACGAGCTTTACGAATCCGTGCTGAGATTTCGTGAGACACCAACCCATTAGGGCTGATCAGACTTCCAAGATAAGTGAAGTTGTCAACTCGTTCGACTACTTCACTCCCTATCCTTAGTTCAGGTGTTGACGCAAACCAGTCCTGAAGTAGATCGTACTTCTCATTACAACTCCGAGAATTTCCTCTCGAAGCTAGTCACTAGTGAGCACATGACAATCATCAGTATAGGGTTTTGGAGATTATTGGGTTTCAATTGAGATCATGAACCGATAGACGTTAAACCACTATTGAAAACCTGGAAGCAGTAGACAGCCGTTTCGTCCTAGTATGGGGCTCGTCAACAGTGCGCACCCACGACCTCGCATGTGGTACTCGGACCCTAAATATAAACAAAAACTTGAAAGATCAGTTCGTGATTACAATTACACTCAACAAATCATCCATACTGATCACAATCATGTGGTCACTGGTGGCTAGCTTCAAGACGTGACTCCTGAAATCTTATTGACAATCCATAACCAGTTTAGTTAAATCCATGTCGGGCATGAGAAATTTATCCAGCACAAGCAATGGATGAAGGGTTGCGCAATATGATGGATTGGTTGGAGTTAGACATTAACACTGTTAGATTCCGGCTCAGTGGTTTAGGGATTAAACGTTCGGGCGCAAGACTTGAAGGTCTTGTGTTTGATTCCCACCTGTGGGTTCTTGGATGCGCACTGATTAAGAGTCCCATAATAGGACGAAACGGCTGTCCAATGCTTCCAAGTTTTCAATGGTAGTCCAACATTGATCGGTTCATGATCTCAATTAAATTTCAACAATCTCCACAACCCTATACTGATTATTATTACCATAATACTGTTATTGATTTATTTTTAAATTTATCAGTTTTCTGGTACGATTCTCTAAAATAACTTTTACCGTCTCAGTTTTTTTGTCCTTCACAATGTACAGATGTTTGAACGAATTCTATTTGTCTGGTCTATGCGACATCCAGGAATTGGTTATGTACAAGGTATCAATGATTTGTTAACTCCATTCTTCATTGTATTTTTATCAGAATACACTCATGTTGGTAAGTTTCGTATATGTTGTGTGAATCTTTTTTCGATATCTGTTAAAGATTTGCATTATTCTACGTTTATTTTGATAGAAAATATATAATACAGTATCTGTGACAACTTCGCTTAATATTGACAATGTTATTCATTCATTTCTATCATATTTGCGCATACTATTCTGTAGTTTATCCCTCTTTATTCTTCTTTGTTCAATTTCTATCTTGTATCTACATTGATAAAAAAAAGCATTTTATACACTACTCAAAAACTAGCATGATCCAACAAAAAATAGTTATATAATTAGCATTATATGGACTATTGTTTATTTTTCATGGTTAGTAACTTCTAAGTACTACTCAGATTCTCTAGAAATCTAACTTCATGTAGGTAATATTGGAATTTAAAGGCGTATTAGTGTGTGTATGTTTGGGACCGTAGTAAAGCCCTCCGTAGAAGTAATGGTGACTGGAAAAATAACCAGTTATTTTTAAAGCTTAATGTTAACATTTGTTTATCCATGGTAAGAATATTTCGGAATTCCAGGAAAACGTTTAGGCAGGTTGAATAGACGAACCACTGTCAGTTACACATTGGTCAGTTAGTTAGTTCTAAGCTTTTTAAAAAATAAAATATACAGTATTTAATTAGCTAATATTTGAGATACAGCCCAGATGTACATATTGTTTAGTTTATGTATCATAGAAACCATTATGTCATATTGTTATTATTATGAAGAACTATTAACGACTGTTAACTACAAATTATTTGAGGCACTAATAATAAATGTAGCTATTTTAAACTAACCTGCTCATCGGATATTCCGAAGTCATTAAAGCGCACTTTGTTTTTGATCATTTCCTGCATGTAATATCAATTGTACATTTGTTGGATAGTTCAATAATCGTCATTATTAATAGTACTAATTTTGTTTTTAAAAAAATGGCAGTGGTAGTTCATTCGGGGCCCAATGTATTGGTTTTTCCTTCTGAACATTTTGAACAATCTGGTCACATAATATGATTCTATGACAGAGGCCAAAAGTACCCATCAAGAAAACTTATTACGCTGCTAAACAGGCTGTGATTTAAAGGATTAGGCACATGATCCCAAATGAACCTAGAAAGTCCACATAACAGTCAGTCATCTACGACGTAGGACAAGGCACATATATGCATTGGCCCAAGTTGCAATACCTCATTAGTACAGCAAGATAAACACCAAATTCATAGTAATTACTTCAGTGGTAGTAATATATAAAAGAAAGATTGTGTATAAAGATATAATACAGGAAGAAAGAATTAGTTCGTAGAAAGAAAGACATAAAGTGATTTTAATTTCACGGTGTAAGGGAAGAAAAAGAGTGTATAAACCTACACCATTGTGATGGATTCTGAGCCATGTCACCCACTGTCTCCAACCATTGGCTGCAATAGTCGCGCGGACCCCAGCCAATTAGTCCACATCTACCAACTTTATGGACTGATGTCACATTTTGGTTTGGCCACCCCTAACTTTCTTCGAACTGTCTCCAACACTAATGAGCATTGCGCGTCGTGGTTATCGGTGTCTAAGCATTCGTAACACCGTGGCCCAATCATTTTAGTCGATGAAAATTCACAACCTCATCAACTGATTTAGCATCATTCCATAATACCCTGCGTCTGACGTCACTATTAGTTACGTGGTGAACCCAGTAGATGCGAGCTATATTTCTAGGGCATCTGTGGTAGAATACTAGTAGCTTACGAGTATCTTCTACTCTTAATGGCCACGTTCCGCAGCCGTAAAGTAGAACAGAACGAACTGCTTTGCAGTATACTCGTCCCTTAATTGATAGACGTATATCTCGCCTTCTCCGTAGGTGACGTAAGTTGGCAAAAGCCAAACGAGATTTTTGGATCCGTGCTGGAATTTCGTGAGACACCAAGCCATTAAGGCTGATCAGGCTTTCAGGATAAGTGAAGCTGTCAAGGCGTTCGACTACTTCACTCCCTATCCTTAGTTCAGGTGTTGACGCAGACCAGTCCTGAAGCAACATCTTACATTTAGAGGGGGAGAAACGCATCCTAGACATTCTGGCATTGTTGCTCAGTGCTACGAAAAGACTGTATTTTATCAGCATCTTCACCAAACAGGACTATATCATCTGCGTATTCTAAGTCGATAAGTGAACTTTCTGGTAGAAGATCAATTCCTGAAAATTCAGTCAATGAGAACGTTATTTCCTGCGGTAGGTCTCTTATGAAGTTAAACAGAAATGGAGATATTGGACAGCCATACCGGACAACACCTGATGTTACGAAATCACATGACAGTTCGCCATAACCTCTGACTTAACTGATAGTGTTCGAGTAAAGTACCCTCACAAGGTTTATGTACTTATGAGGTACACTTTTCAATGACAGACACTGCCACAGAACCTCTCGGTCTACGGAGTCAAACGCTGCTTCTAAGTCAAGAAAGACCACGATTGTCGGAAGCCGATAAGCATGCCTGTATTTTATGATCAGACGAATGGTGAATATGTGACCGATGCAGTCACGACCAGGTCTGAAGCTAGCCTGATTTTCTCATTTTTTCAGTTCACGACTTTTTGTTGGGCGTTCGGAAACTATTGCGGCTAGTGTTTAGATGCTTTATTAGTCAACCTAATTCCTCTATGGTTATCACAGGATGATTTTGCCCCCTTATATATTGGGACGATCAGTGATTGTGATCAGTCAGATGGGATTACGTCCAACTCCTAGTTTTTAGCTAAAATATTAGTAAACCTAATCGCTTAAACTAGACCACCATCCTCAAAGACCTCTGGACCAACTGCTCTTCCTCGTTTCAGATTGGCTATAGCCTTTTGAACTTCAGCTAGAGTCGGGGAACCTACTTCAATGTTCCATTCAGGCTGTCTGGGAATAGCGGGTAGTTGTAGAGTAGATGAAGGCCAGCTGAAATGCTCCTTAAAGTGTTCCACCCATCGTTCTAAACGTCTGGGCTGAGAGCGGATAAGTGTCTTCTTTTTCCGAGATAGTTTCACTTACACTCGCCTTCCTGATTCCAGTTTCTTTTATTAGTCTGGAAAGCTGTCTGGTTTACCTACAGCCGTTGCCTTTTCCATCTCTTTTGCTTTCGTTGCTCACCCCTGCTCACGGTCGTTCCTTAGACTTTTGCTTAACCTAGATTTGATTTGCTTTCGCTCGTCATCGTTTTCGGAACGTGATGGAATAAGTTTACGAGAATTCATCAGTGCAATAGACTTAGAAGAAAGCCATTGGTTTTTTGTAACCATTTGCTTTAAATCATTAATAGATGTCACTGCTGTTTCCACAGCTGTTGTATATTTATCCAAGCAATATCCTGGTCAGCCTCGTTTTCAGAACTACCTAAATGTGACCTCAGTTGTTTCTGGAATCTACTTTAGGCTTTGTCGTCACTCAATTCAATTCTAATGGGTCTTCTTGGTGTGGCTTTTCTGCGTCCAGTGAGGAGTAAGCAGATGCGTGCCTGTACTAGAGGATGGTCGGAGTCCAAGCAGGTATTCCAGAATGAGCGACAATCTTCTATCGACCCTCTCGAAGTATGACTGATGGCAATATGGTCTATTTGAGTCCATCGTTGGTTTGGTGTAGGAGGTCGCCATGTTAGAAATGTCTCTCCTTATGGTTAAAATTAGTGTTTGATAAAAATAAATGATTGTCCGAGCACAGTTGCAGCAGACGATCACCATTATCTGTTTGCTGAGCCGGAATACCAAAATACTCATCTAAATGTTTTTCTGTTTGGTGATAACTACCTACCTGGGCATTAAAATCACCTACTACAAGTACTATGTCTGAACGTTCAACTTTCTGAAGAAGTTTAGAAAGCTTTCTGTAAAAGTTATCCCTCACTCCATCCTGGCTGCAGTCAGTGGGAGCGTAGGTAAAAACGGCGAAAAGGCAACGACCTGTGTCCCTGTCCTTCTGAGTCCTTACAGAGCCATTTGGTCGAACAGCACATATACGACTGTTAACGGGGATCCATCCTAATAGTGCTTATTCTGCCCTCGTATTTAGTGGTCGTAATGACCTGAGAGCTTAACCTCAGTGCCCCAAAGAGACAACTGTTTGAGGCCAGTCACACACGACCTTTCGTGGGTAATTTTCCTGTCAGCTCCGTACTTGTCGAGACCTTACCACGGAAACGGAAATCCGTGGGTTAAGGCGAGGTGTGCATTCTTAAGATGGACTTTTTCTAACCCACCCTTCTTTTGTGGGAAGGTAACATCGCTGTCATGCTGGTTGTCTGAAGTAAAAATCTTACTGCCGTCACATCTCTGTACAGTTAGCAATAAGATTTCGCCTTCGGACCTTGGGTTTGTTGTTTTTATTCTTACCGCTCTTCAGCGGACCTTTCTGTTATTGTAGGACCTTGAGAAACGATTGTTCCAGCCAATATATCTCGATTGATTCATTCCGATCGGTAATCTTGACCACCACTTCAAGGTAGCAGCGACGGTCGGGGTTCACACCGCCACAACTTAATTACCAGCAGTCCAAAATTTCAACCTCCTGAAGGCAATGTTACTGAAAATAAAGATGAAGTAGTTATTGAAAGATTCAACAGCACCAAAGAGTCGGTCTATTTTAGCCTATAGACACCATTACATCATCACAACTCACTAAAAAATTTGGGCGTAATTTATGTAAATACTGAAGGCGATAGGAGAAGCATTATGTAGAGAGGGAAACGAAAAACTTGCCACATGGAGTGCACATATGGAGGATTTTCACATATATAAACACAAGTATTTCTTACAACCCCATCTCATTAGTTCTAGTCATTGTTCTTAACCAACACTAAACTTCATACCATAATTAGTAGCTATAAGTATACATCACACAATAATTAGTTAAATAATATTGTGTTGTAAGGAATATTTTGGTCGTTAAATCATTTCCATCATATATTTCCGTGATGTAGTGGCCTTCGTTCTACATATGTGCATTCATAACGTATAATCTATTGTTCTGAACATAGTGATACTTCTAAGCTTGATATATGTATTTTTATGAAAGTATTTTTTGTAGAAGAGTTTGTCAGGAACAATGGCTTGATAATGTGATACCATAGGATAGTTTCGTTTACTGTCACACAAAAAGATAGATATGGCTCAACCTATATTTCGTAAAATGATCTACTTCATGAAGAACAGTATATAAATTTATATTTTCTCACTATTAATTCAGATTTAGTACCTAGCTTGATCGATGAAAAATCATCAGGTAAGTGTTACTGCTAGAAAACACCTAAAATATTGCGTATTTCGCAAAGGTTGATACAGAATGTTTATCAAATATTTGACTAATTTGCACTTACTAATAGGGTGATCACTCTCTAAAAAATCTTTATTTCCCCCAAATTTGTAGTGCATGCGTTGCTGTCAAAATTACTGCTTTTACAATATTATGCCTAGTATAGAATTAATTGCATGTTTTAATAAATATACTATAGGAATGTGTTTGTAACCCAAGGTTCATAGACATTAGATACTAATCATAGGCTTACGTGTTGAACTTTGGGCCACATAATTTATGTGAGTTGTGATGCTATCCTGTAGAGCGGTGGCTTCGTCGTTGAATCAATGAAGTTCTAACAAATAAGGTCGTATGCTCGATCCTCGTACTTTTTCCTCAGTTTGTGCCCTCCAAATGCCACGGTACGGCCGAGGGTGGAAAGACACCGCTCTTACTCTTGAAATGCTCTGACATGACAACGTGTATGCAGCCACTGCCAGGGAAGTCCTAATCACTGCCTTCTCGTGATGGGGGTGTTGTTTATGAAATTGAGAGTAATAAAAGCGAATATCTGGCGCTTTAACCGGGTTGGTGGAAACGGAAGGTCCACCTAGGGGAGTTGGGAAACCCTGATTCCAAACCAGTGGTGTACATGGGCTCCAGTATCCTAAAAAAACAAGTGGCGTATAAACCCATTGGTCACCGACTACCATAAGACTTCATCTCCTAACGTCGCTCCACTGCCTTATGTATTAGACTCATAGGTCAAAGACTCGGGAATGGCCCCTTAGGAAAGTCACCTGGTTCGGTTTGGGCACCCGATCAGTATTCCAGCCCTCACGACATATTAAATGACGAAGTGTGACGCATATGTATTTGGGGCCACCTTGTAGCAATGTCTCTGGGCACCCGATTAATATCACCGACCCCTATTCAATTGAACGGTGGTTCGTTGACGAGTTCAGGGACCTGTACTTGTTAAATGAATTTTTAAAAAGTATACTATTTCGCCACACACTGAGGTAGGTGGCATGGGATTCAAACCGATTACCTGCTAGTTAGAAGCCGAGTATCTCATTCGATATAAAAACCTAGTGTTAATATCTTTGCTCTCAGGTGTAGTGTTATTAGGCACGTTTAGGGCAGTCCCATAAAATTGTACTAAATAATAGATCTTAACCTTCGATTAATCTTGTCCTATATTTGTTATAACTTTCATATCAAGGTGGATATTTACAACTAATAACCCTCTCTCTGCCTTGGCATATTATTCATTTGGTTAAATATTCAACTTCTAGCTCAATATACCATGTTTTTAAACCTGTACACAATAGTTCTGATTCATAACTGACTATACTGCAAACCTGTATTTGGTTACTAAGGTGCTGTTAGAAAAGACGCTTTCGTTCCACTCTTGGGTCATGGAAATATTTTCAAATAGTTTATAATAATTAAATAAAAATCGTTACTTGTCCATGGATGTGTTGAATATTTTCTACAGTTGCGTAATGGTTTGTTAGGCAAAGTATAGTATTAAGCTAATATGAATTTTTAATATGTCTATTTAGTACTGTTTCTGGTTAATATTCTTCAACAAAGTTCTTTTTATTGGATAGGGTTACTAACCCTATGTCAAACCCTTCTCCTTTATTCGAGCTTGGGACTAACAATAACCATAGAAAATAGCTCCAGATAAAGTTAGATTTTTGTTGCTGTTGAAAATCCAGCTTTAATCATTTAATTTAACTAGATCAACTATCTATTTGTTGGGATCTCTAATCTTCACGATGACCTTCAAAGTAATTTTAATAAATATTTTATGAACAATATAATAACAAGATAGAAGTTTTATTCACTTGACGTTGTTTACTTGTGTCTTCCCATTGTTATTTAGGACTACAATTGGTCACTCTCTTGTTGGCATATGTGCATTCTGTGCGGACTGACTCGATACTGCCTGAAGTCACAAGCTTTATAAGCAAAGACGGATAATGACTAGCAGTGGAATCCTGGACTCGCGTTTCGTCCTATTTGTGACTCGTCAACTGGATGTACCTAAATCTCAGAGTGAATATAACTTCACCCCACTGTACAAGCAGGTGGCTATCAGGACTCAATAGCTAAGTGGATAACGCAATGACGTTTGAAGTGAACTGTACTGGGTTCGAGTCCTAGAGTGAACATCAACTCTGAGATACAGGTACATCCTAAATAGGACGAAACGCGCTTTGTCCTAAATTCCACTGCTAATCACTATCCGTTTTTGCTTATAAAGATAGAAGTTTATTTCATAATTTCTCATCAAGCATTACTGCAAATAATTTCTTATTTCTTATTTATTTATTTATAATAAATAAGACATTATTTGCGGTAATGCTTGATGAGAAATTATGAAATAAACTTCTATCTTTATAAGCAAAGATGGATAGTGGTTAGCAGTGGGACTCAGGGACCCCAAATGCTCTGGTATGTCCGAGAGCGGGGTGGGCTCGCCTTCCTTTTCAAAATACTCTCACACGGCCACGCGTATACAGCCTCTGCCAGGGAAGTTCTACTCACTGCCTTCTCGTGGCGGGGGTGTTGTTTACGAAAGTGAGAGGACGAAAGGCGAATATCCGGCGCTTTAACCGGATCTCAAACCAATGTTGCACATGGGCTCCAGTATCCTGTAGGAACAAATGGCATATGAACCAATATCTTGGTCACCGGCTCCCATGGGACTGCATCTCCTTACGACGCTCTACTGCCTTGTGGATCAGACCTTCAGGTCGAAGGCTCGAGGTGTAGGGCCCTTTGAGAAAACCACCTGCTTCGGCCTGGGCACCCGGGCTCTATCACAGCCCCACACACAAAAAATGATGAACTGTCTATTTATGGAAAATATTCTTCAAGCATTAATACAAATAATCTCTGATTTAAGTTGTAACAAATGAAATAACTTTCTTCATTTATTTTCTTTTTACAAAATTACCTGCATGAAAGTATGCAATATATGTGTGTTTTACTTTTAGTTATGTAATACATCGTAATTGATATAATGCTAAAAAAGGAAATGTTTTAAATGTGTTCTCTATATTTCTATCGTTTTCTCTATTAAGTTGATAATAATTTAGCCATTTCTAAGTTTGCATGTATTTACCACTTTTTAATTCTTAGCTCTTATATAGTTTATTTATTAGAATGTGAAATGATTATTGAAAGATTATCAACAAGTTGAAACTCTTTAGATTATTATAAAATTCAACATTATAACATCTATTGTCATAGAGATATAATTGTTGAAGCATTTTTTTCTTCTTTTAATTAGAGCACACTAACTGACTACTGAGAGATTTACACTGATCCATTGATTTCTATTGATGACTTAGAACTAATTTTATTGTTTATGTAGTAGTTCTTTACACTGATTGACTTTTATTGATGTTGTCTCAATGCAGTCATCATTTGATATTGTTTTCACTATGTTTGAATGACTGATATATAATTGTGTATGTATGATAGGCAGTTATCAGGTTATACTTTGATTATGGTATACTATCTGATGCAGGTTTGTATGGAAGTTGAACTTGAGACAGGTGCGAAACTGAGATTCACACAATGCAATTAATAAGACAAAGATCCATGTCAAGTGAATATTTTATTCACCCTTCAAAGACACGTCAACTTTAACCAAATACATTCATTTGTTTATAGATTTTACGGGCAGTGAATAAGAAATAAATGAATATCACACAAATGAATTAGGAGGAACGTATAAATTAATTTTCCACTGAATTAATGTATACATTAATGCTGCCTGGTATACTGAACAGATATCACACTAAATTAAACAGTTCACGTTTTATCTCATCTTAGCAGTTTAGAATCCTGAAAGCTACATTAATCCCCTCATGATTACTGATACGCTTTACTAATGGATCCTAACTAATAGGAGATCCAAGCTAAGGTGATCCTGCTAATAGCATCCAACTAACTTACAGCAAAACGTGATGCACATGATATCGAGTCAGACTAGCGATTGCATTTGAACTTGGTAACAGAATTCGATCAACCCTATAGGACTGGGCAAACATAGGGTTGATTGCTACTCTGAATGGTCGTCAATCAAAGTACAAACCACGATATATAAGAGAATGATTTTCGATATCGATTGTTCTTAATACCACAAAGTTTTAAGATCATAGAAACAATGTCATTTTTTATCCGTAGTATAGTTAATCGTTCTTTTAAAATTCATCAAGAAGTTTCTTTAGATCCTACATATTTATCCATCTTAAGTAAACAGATATATTCTCTCACCTTAGGGCAACCATTATCATTTACAACCTAATCGGATAAACATTTGACTGATATGTATTCACTATGTTTTCTTTGTAGCATTTATTTAGAAAAAAACTATAAGTAATGCACACTACACTGTCTTTTCTTTTTAAAATCACTTCTCTTCGGCTATTCTCTTTTGTTGCTTGTTTATCTTTCTTCTTCTGCCACGCTTTACTTTCATTGAATCAACTCCACCTCTTATCCTATACTCATTATAGATTTAAATACATCAGGTGAATTAAGCCTACATTCGGATATCACCTGTGAACAATTGAATTCAGTTGAGGCTGATGTATTTTGGTGTACATCACACCTATTGGATACAATACAAGATAATTATACATTTGCTCAACCTGGCCTACAAAACAATGTAAAGATGTTGGCTAGTCTAATTGAACGTGTTGATACTAAATTATATCAACATTTTATACAAAATGATGTTGAATTTTTGCAATTTGCTTTTCGATGGATGAATAATTTATTAATACGTGAATTACCATTACGTTGTATTATACGTTTATGGGATACTTATATGGTAAGTTGAATTTTCTCACTTGTCTTTTTGTATATGTTCGTTTATATTTTGGTTTACTGACGACACAGATTTATGGGAATTCATCAAGTACAGGTTTATATAGTAGTCGACTTTGAACTAATCGGCCAGCCATTGGTAGTATTAAACCTAGCTCACTTTTACCCATCAGTTCAAGTTGCCATACCATATCCTTACAACAAAGTAAAAATTATTCATGCCAATATCAGAATAGTAGGATTAGTAATAATATCAGAGGTAACAGGAAAGATTAGGCAGAGACAAAATGATTCAAGAGGAAATAATAATTTTTCGAGATAAAAAGTATAAAACAATCTTAAAACTCAAAATCTAAGTGAAAACAAATAGTGAATGCATCTGCTAGATTGTGGCTGATTCAGAGCCATATAATCACCCAACGTCTCCAACCATTGGTCACAATTTTAGCTAAGATCTCATCCTGGCAGTCTACATGTCCCAACCAATCCAGTCAATAAAAATCCACTAACTCATTAACTGATTTGCCATCTTTATGTAATACACTACATCCAACCTCAACATAAGTGTTCACTTGATGACCAGCAGTGCTCCGAAGGCATCTATAGCCAAATACTAGTGACCTACAAATATAATCTATTACTGAATTCATTTTCCTAGCTATAAAGTAGATCGAAACAAACTGCCACAAAGTATATTCATCCTTTGTTTGCCAGACGAACATCTCCCTTATGCCATAGGTGACGAAAGTTGGCAAAAGTCAATACAGATAATGATATCAACCGGTTGCTTAATTCTTAATAGCTGAAGTGAGACTAGCCTACTGGTTAAAAGCCGACTAACCTAACCACTAAAATATCTCTCCTCATATATTCGATTGTGTTGGCGTACTGCTTTACGTCCTAAAGTTTATAACCTTTTAGTCACAGGTTTACACAGAAAAATTATGACTCGAAATCGCTTCGGCTTCATGGTATCTAGTCTACTCAATTAATCTCTGCAATTAAAGGTAGTTTGCATCCTAATATAATGCTTTTCTAGACAGATACGATAGTAAACCATTTACTTACAGTCATGGGAACTTTCTGTATTTTAAAACAATTAGTCACTGATAAATTTCGATAATGCAATGATAACGTTCATCTTCTCATTGCATTATCGATATTTTGTCGATTTTTTTTTAGTGACCCTAAATCTGACTCCATTTAAATCGTAAGAGTGATTTTTATTGAAATATGCATGTCGCCAATCCTCATGTATAATCATCGACTTAACTCGCGTTTGTGAATAACGGGATTAAATAAGTCGAATACGAGAATGGATTTCGCATGCATATATTGCATACAATCGTTGATCCAGACAAACGATTAAGGAAACGAAGCGAAGAGAAGGCAGCGAAGCGAAATAACACGTATTGGAGAAAGCATGTGGATCAACTTGATTTAACTAAGCGTTAATCGATATTTATAGTCAAACAAAAATAAGTTACATACATATGATGAGTAAAATGAAAAAGGCACACATATACGCTCATATAAAAACAGTCAAGGTTGATAAGCGAATAGTTAAGAAGGTCAAAATGTAACTCAAATAAAATGAATAAATTGACCTGTCCGGAAGCTAGAATAAGCCATGTGGGCTTGACATAGCAACCGACACTCGTTCTCGGAAAGCAGTATTCCATTGATTGTCTAGATCAGTATTAGAATGGTGTGAAAAATATTTATTTATTTAAACACCTTAAATACCGGTACACAGGGGACAGCAAAATTCATATACTCCATACAAGTAAAAACGAGATTGTGTAGAGATAGAGAAAGGGAGATGAGTATAATAGAACAAAAATGAATAGAACATTAGTCTACGAAAGTAATAATAATAATAATAAATCTTAGAAGCATTAAGAAGGAAAGATTGCCGAAATACAGTGGTAACACCATGTTAGTAATTCAGAGGTTCAGCATCGTTTGTTTGGGCACAGCGACGATAATTCAATTAGTGTCACTATCTTTAAACATCGACTTCAATGACTTGGACATGTCCTACTAAAGTCGTCCCAGAGAATCCCACGTCGTGCATTATTTACCGACGTTGGGACCGGTTGTTAAAAACAGAGAGGTGGTCAGTGTATGATATGGTGTCGTGGTATGAAAGAAAGCTGCACAGGATTGGCTTCCGTTAGTCCTTATCGACTCCCTGGTTGGGGTCCGACAGATGGTGCAACACAATGGCTTGAGGCGCTATCAGACGTGGCTCAGAATAGAAGCGAGTGGCGATCCTGTTGTAAATTTATTTTGCTCATATAAGTGAGAGGAAGTTGTTTAAATGTATGAATACTTTCTGGTTGTGTTTTTCTTAACTGAACTGCTTCTAGTTTGTTTTAAGAACCTTCATAGTATTTGTGTACCCAGTTATATAAGACGTTAAATAGGAAGAATATATTTGTCAAATCTCAGTGATTCAATTTGAATGAATCTTACTTTTTGTTCGACAATCTGGTTCAAACACTTTCAAGCAAATATAATCAAACATCAAAATTATCGAATATAAAAATGGGTACATGGTTCTTCAGTTAACTGTATAGTAAATAGGTCATTCAATCATGTGAACAATTTTTTAATGTATTTTTTTATAGTGTGTATGATATGAAAAAATGTGTTAAGATAGCAGATTGTACGTGTATTCGTAAGGGTGAATCTGAGGTATGAGAAGAAATTTCATTGACTATTTATCACCTTTGATCACTGGATTGAATATCATCCATGATGGCTATCTTACTTCTTCAGACATATAAGTCTGCACTAAAACTACGTTAAGCTACGTCAGTTGTAGCCACTAATGAGCGTATAATTATTATTTAGCTGTGAATAGATTTTGAGATTATTTCACAGTATAAAATATCTTATTAATTTAGTTTGTTGTATACTTTGTTATAGACAATCAGTCAGTCAGCTACAACGTAGGACCAGACACATATATTCATCGGTCCAAGTTGCCATATCTCATTAACACAACAAGATGGACACTGGATTCATAAAAGTAGTTAATTCAATTGTGGTAATATATAAAAGAAAGATTGTAATAAAATATTGTACAGGAAGAAAGAATTAGTTCATAGAAAGAAAGATACGAAGCGATTTTAATCTCTTAGTTTAAGAGAAGACAGAGACTGTATACACCGACGCCATTGTGATCGATTCTGAGCCATGTCACCAAGGGTCTCCAACCATTGGTTACGAAAGTCACGCGGACCCCAACCAAGTAGTCTGCATCTACCAACATGGCTCAGACTAGAAGTTAGTGACTTCAGGCACTGATGCCACGTTTTGGTTTGGCCGCCCCTAACTTTCTTCCAACCATCCCGAACACCGGTTAGCATTGCACGTCGCGGTAATCGGTGTTCAGGCATACGTAATACGTGGCCCAACCATCTCAGTCGATGAAGATTCATAACCTCATCAACTGATTTACCATCATTCCCTAATACCCTGCGTCTAACCTCACTATTACTTACCCGGTGATCCCAGCAGACGCCAGCAATATTTCTAAGGCATCTGTGGTCGAATACTAGTAGCTTACGAGTGTCTTCTACTCTTAAGGGCCGTGTTTCGCTGCCGTAAAGTAGAACAGAACGAACTGCTGTGCAGTATACTCGTCCCTTAATTGATAGGCGTATATCTCGCCTTCGCCATAGGTGACGTAAGTTGGCAAAAGCTAAGCGAGCTTTTCGAATTCATGCTGAGATTTCGTGAGACACCAAGCCATTAAGGCTGACCAAACTTTCATGATAAGTGAAGTTGTCAACGCGTTCGTACTACTACTACTACTATATAGTACTTTCATATTTGATTTAGTGATTTACTCGTATATATTTAATTGATCATTTCCTTTTTATAATTCAATTCTATTTTATATACAGTCAGAAAATAGTGGATTTTCAAATTTTCACGTTTATGTCTGTGCAGCTTTTCTATTACAGTTTTCTAATGATCTTTGCCGTGAACAAGATTTTCAAGGTATTATGTTATTATTACAACATTTACCAACATTTCATTGGACTGATGAAAATATTAAATTGGTACTGGCTGAAGCGTTTCGTCTTCATTCATTATTCAATTCAGCTATGCATCATTTAGATTTTCGACGTCATTCGGATTTAGATTAAATCAATCAATACTTCAGTTGTTGTAGGTTATCTCATCTTCTCTCTCTCTCTGTGTGTGTGTGTGTCTGATTGTGTACAAATAATTATTATCAATTGATTGAAGACAAATACAGAAGTACATGTGTGTGTATGTAAAATAGAGATAAGAAAAGTCTTTCTTACTTCCTCCTTTTTGTAGCCATTTAACGACTACTACTGCTGTTACATTTTATGTCCCATCAACCATTCAACTACTCATTGTGTGTAGTAGTAGTAGTAGTTATTATAGTGATAGTAATATCCAAATAAACTTCTTCCATTTACTCTTCTGCTGCACATCGGTTATCTCTTTGCTTATTGATTAATTTAGTTTTATTTTGTATGTAGTAAAGTATTTTTTTTTCTTTCTCCCTTATTTTCTCTTAAAATAATAATTGAATCTTTTGTGTTACTGTTCAATTCTACTTATTGACAATGGCAATATATTCTATTTGATTTCAACTTGTATCCAGTGTTATATATAGATGGATGGATAGTTTGATTATTCCTTCGTAATCTTCAGTTTCAACACTGCGAAGATACAATTTATCTCCCAGCATTACTATATATATATATTATTGATACTGTTATTTTGCTATACTTACATTCTCAATATTGGTTTGCTTTTTTCCATTGAAAGATATCTTTCATGTATAGTTATTTGAATGAATGTTAACACAACTAATAGTTTACATGTGTCTTTCAACTTTCTATTAATGCGCATGATAACATGATCTTCCTTATGTCGTTATAATGTGCCTCTGTATTTATGAATATATATATATATGTAATACCCCATAATTTCTCAGTTAGATAATAAGAAAGAAATATAAGTGTTTTGTATGCATTTTTGTAGAATATTTTGTATTAGCATTCATTGCTTTGTAATCTCTCCTCCCCACGGGAAAATAATTTGGTGCATACATTACCAGTTATCAGTATTTTTTAACAATATTTCTCTGTATGTTTTATAGTTGTGTTTTTCTTACTGTGAACTATGATATATTTACATGTTATTGTATTTTCAAGTGAACAATTTCTACCATCTAAGAAATTGATGCTGATGATGATGTAATCTTCCATTTGTTAATGATATACTTGAAATATAAGTTTCTGATTTTTGGAAAATATGTTCTGTCTTAGTGATTACAGATTTACTTACTTACTTACTTACTTACTTACTTACTTACTTACTTACTTACTTACTTACTTACTTACTTACTTACTTACTTACTTACTTACTTACTTACTTACTTACTTACTTACTTACTTACTTACTTACTTACTTACTTACTTACTTACTTACTTACTTACTTACTTACTTACTTACTTACTTACTTACTTACTTACTTACTTACTTACTTACTTACTTACTTACTTACTTACTTACTTACTTACTTACTTACTTACTTACTTACTTACTTACTTACTTACTTACTTACTTACTTACTTACTTACTTACTTACTTACTTACTTACTTACTTACTTACTTACTTACTTACTTACTTACTTACTTACTTACTTACTTACTTACTTACTTACTTACTTACTTACTTACTTACTTACTTACTTACTTACTTACTTACTTACTTACTTACTTACTTACTTACTTACTTACTTACTTACTTACTTACTTACTTACTTACTTACTTACTTACTTACTTACTTACTTACTTACTTACTTACTTACTTACTTACTTACTTACTTACTTACTTACTTACTTACTTACTTACTTACTTACTTACTTACTTACTTACTTACTTACTTACTTACTTACTTACTTACTTACTTACTTACTTACTTACTTACTTACTTACTTACTTACTTACTTACTTACTTACTTACTTACTTACTTACTTACTTACTTACTTACTTACTTACTTACTTACTTACTTACTTACTTACTTACTTACTTACTTACTTACTTACTTACTTACTTACTTACTTACTTACTTACTTACTTACCTTCTTCCGACAACCCGACTAAAGCGTCAGACATTTGATTTTTGTCCTTTTATTTTTCCTAAATAACGCTTTCACTTCGAGAAGGAAGTGAGTCGGACTTCCTTCTCAGTGGCTGAATACGCGTGGCAATGTGAGAGCATTTCGAGAGGGAGAGTTGACTATCCCCAACCCCCAAGATAGTCAGCTTATTTATCGACACATCAATGTATTACTACCATAACTCGGAAAAGAGAACTAACTCATAATCACGGGGGTTTTCTACATCCTGACGTTTTATCACATTACACTTATAAAAACGATATTGTTTATATTGATCATTATCAAAACCCAGGATATAAGTGATATCAGGAAATAAACCTAATTTTGAAGTATTTTAATTATATTTCAGCTCCACACGTGAAAAATATCAACCACCGCTGGTAGTGTACTGATATTCCTGTAGATGATTTTCTGCAGTTTTAGAAAGTTAAACAATTTCTTTAGAACAATGTTAGGTATCATAACCAAAATTAGTGCTAAATTAATAATTAAGAAAGTTTTTCCACCTCGAATTTCCTTGCTAATGTCAGGTAGTACAATTTCGGACAGTCCTAGTTTTGTTTCTGAAAGATTGTGAATATGTAACTGTTGGAATACAATGATAATAGTATCTTGTTAAATCAGAGCATTGGAAATATTTATCACAAAATAATAAACGTACAAAGTATTCATAATTAATAGTTTTAATTTATCCTTAAGATTTGTAGTTTGACAGTAGTGATACAAACTTATCGTATATTTATCACAGAAGTAGGCTGTCTATTTTTCTTAACAAAGAGCACTGAGATTTAAACGAACTCTGTTCTAATTTAAGAATTCATATTTCGTCAATTGATTTACAGGTTTAGGCAAACTTCATTTGATCAGTATGACAGCGAGACTATAATTTATAGACGAACCAATGAGATTTACGATAATAAGTCTTGAATTTTGGCGCAAAATTCATTCATTTGGCTAAATAGAGTTTTCGGCATTATAACTGATGTCAGTTCGTGATGAAAACCCTAAATGTAATTCTTAACCCTAACTATTAACTGTAAATCATAATTCTAATTTCTCACAGTGGTTTATAACCGTAATTTGGCCGTAGTATGTACGTGAACAGTCTCAAGATCAGTTTAGCGTCGCTCAAAGGTTGTCCATAGTCTCACCCAATATGACTATTGGTTTTTATATACAGTTATATGTATGGATGTTATCTTGTATTGCATTGTTCTGTTTTAAGGAACTACTTATCAGTCTTAGAACTGTGAATCATCAGATTCTAAATAAGATTAGCAATCTTTTGTCCGACTTCTGGCTTCGTTTTAAACGTTCTCTATTGTAGAATACAAAAATTGATTATTCAAGTCATAATACTAATATTAATGACATTTTATTGATCCTTCTTAAAGTTAAATAATTCATAATGAGTTCATACACTTTCTTCAAATAACCCAGTACAGTCCTTTTTTTGTTTGTAATAAACTGAAAACTTTAGTTGTTTTTTTTGTTTTTACAAACATGGACACCCTTTAAATTCCTTTTATTTTGGTAACCACATAATTATTATAAAAATATTTGATTACTATGTGTAAACTTGGTTCATTATAAAAAGTAATAATGTATAGAATTCTTTCTGTAGTTAATTAACGATTGGATTGTTATGTGTGTGTATATATATATACATATATGTGTATATGTACGTGTTACGTCATACAGTTTGAGTCCTGTTCTATCTAGAAGGTTGTTCTTGATATACCGCTTATAACGTGAGTACTAGAATGCCAGAACCCTCCCAAGTCGCAATGAGAAGACAGAAGACTAATGAAAGGATTATTATTCTCAGACACTGTCAAATTATAGTACAAAATTTTCAGTTATTTATAGTTTTTAGTAAGAACGAAATCAGCATTACAGTCTTCCAATCCGAATACAGGGGGTTATTAGCATTGTTCAATCAGGAAGCTACACATAGGAATTCTAGGATATTCTTCCAAAATTTGGTTGGATGGAATATCTTCGGCTCCTTCTGAGCCCTCCTACAGCTTCTTCGAGTTCACCCGTGGTCCGTCGTCATAAGTCTCATCATACCTTCTTTTCAAATCATATTCTTAGTTTTATACATCTTGATCCTTTGATAAATTTACATACAACGAGAATAAAAACATGAATTCATTATGTTTCAAAGCCTATCATCACCATCTTCACTCGGATTAGCTCCACTGGTCACGGCTTCTCACCAGAACTCCGATAATTCCCTCTCGAATCTCCGTGAGGATCCCGCTCATGGGATTGTGGATGCTCACTGCTTAGGAGTCTCGCAATAGAACGAAACGGTCGTTCAGTGCTTCCTGGTTTTCAATGGTTGTCTAACACCAATCGATTCATGATCTCGATCAAGTACTAAATGATCTCCATAACGCTATACTGAGAAATTATTTGATTAATATTTGACGGATCGATTGATCAGTTATTGAAGTAAGCATTCTGAAACAGATAACAGTTTTCTCTCATGAATTCCTCACATCAGTATAGCGACAGTGATACTTCCTTTACAGTTTCATCTGTGTAACTCAAGTGATTTTACTGAAAAAAAAGATTTTATCGGCTGTAATAAATTTTTCATGGAGAACATTTTATGGCTACGAGAAACATGCAAAAAGAAGCCAATAAAATGAATAAACCTGCACTCAGATTAAAGACTTTATATAGTGAAATGTTTACAATAATAAGGTTGGAAAACTGACAAACGTATTCAAATCATTTAACTCTAACAACTTGCATTAGTTCTAACTCAAAATACTTCCAATTTTCTGTTTATTGCCTGAAAATGATTCCAAGATCGTGTAATCATTTTAAGAATAGTTTAAACTCGTCTCTGTAGTAAATTTCCACTGTATAGTTCTACAACGTATGAGACAATAAGTACTATTCGTCTATAACATTATCATTTATTTTGGCTAAATTACAAACTGATCATCGCCCTAGAACTTTT